ATCGCCTTTTTGAGACAGTAAAAATGCTTAGATTTTCTTCAACATTATCTTTTCTGATAGGAAAGTGAATCTAGTTGATTTTTTGGGGGGGTCAAAAGTAAATTCCCAGTTGTTTTCAAAAGCGACGTGAAAAACAAAAGAAAAATTAAGGAAAAACGAGAAGTTTTACTCAAAATCTGTTTTCTAGAAAATCGATTTTGGTTTTTGGTGCAACTCTAAAAAAACAAATAACCTTAGGTAAGTGAAATTTTGACTGAATGTTTATATTAGCATTTTCTATACACCATAACATTTTTCAAATATTTTGACTTCTTTGGAGCTGTTTACGGACATTTTCAGTTTATACTTTATACAATTATTTTAGTTTTTTTTTCTATAAATATCAATAAAGTTTTATCAGTTAGGCCAAAAAGTGTAAAAATGTAATACAAGGCTCCTGATATATTGTTACAATATCAGTTGAAAAATATTAAAAATACATAGTCACAATTTTTTTTGATAAGCATTTAAAGTTCAAAAATTGACAAAATATGGAAAAATCACGAAAATTATCAAATTATTTTGAGATATTTGAATTCGTATAACATTTTTCTTTTTAAATCTAAGATTTTAAAATGTAATACAAGATTCCTTATAAGATTATCTACTTTTGACAAAAAAAAAAAAATGTCTATAAGAAAGTCAAATTAAATTTTTATGAGCTTTTGAAATTCAAATTTTTACAATATCAGTTGATAAATATTAAAAATACATAGGCACAATTTTTTTTATAAGCATTTAAAGATCTGCAAATTTTGACAATATTTATTAAATTTAAAATTGAATAATTATTTTGTAGTTAAAAATTTATAAAATATTCAACTTTTTTATCTAAGGATTGAAAATTTAAAACAAGATTCCACGTAAGTATTTAATTCTGTTACCAAAAAATCTAAAAAATACATACGCACAGTTTATTTTTATAGTCATTTTAAGTTCAAATTTGGATGAAATTACTTAAAAAAACCTACAATAACTATTTAAGTTATTTCGTTGTGATTGTATAATATTATTCGTGGGTACTTGAAACTGCTAAAGTATACTTCTATATATCTATGATAGTATCAGGGATTGTTGTTGGTGTATAACGCGTTATAAGTACCTATAATGGATATTGTGATATGATTAATTTGGAATTTATTATAGGTACCTATATAGGTCAATATTTTTTAAAATACCGTAATTATGTACTACCTATATAATATGTCTTAAACCTACACTGACATACCGTCTCCGCTCAGAATCGTTTTTCTTATACAATTATATTATATCATTGAATTCAAATTTAATACTATCCATTATACAGTGACTAACTTTTAACGTACTACTGTACAGCAGATCACCTTTTTTGACTTAAAATTATGTAGAAAAAATATTTGCAAGTTCGTTAAAAGTTTTTGAAATAATTACTTAGTGGCTTAGATACGTTATACCTAATATTTAATATCTAATTTTTATAATAATATTATTCATCGGGTAAACTCGTATTGAACCAGTTAAATTGTACTTTTAACTCCCCTATCACAAGCTCGCTTTTTGGAATAACATTATCAACATTTTGATATTTTGAAAACCTATGTATTTTCAATTTATAATTACATCAAAACTAGCATACAGAGTTTAGGGAAAGTTTAAAATAATTTTATTCGTTTCTTATGTTTTCAATGTTTTGTCTTTAGAACTCCACATTCAGATTACGAAGTGGAATTAAGTATTTTTAACATATTTTCGATTGAAACACGTTTTCTTCAAATAAAACTAAAATTTTTATACAAAATAATAAATAATATGATTGATTGCCCTGAAATACTCCAAAACTTAAATTTTAAAATAAATGCAAAAAATTCTAGAAAAAAAAACTTATTTTACATAAAAACTGTAACCACGTCCTACATGTCTAATTCGCCGTCAAACATTCTAATGTTAGCTGGTAATTTTGTTGAAAATATTGATTTTTTTTAATACATCTTTGACAGAATTTTGTGTTCAAATATTAAGATATATAAAATAAAAAATTATAAAGATTTTTGTTTTTATTTTTTATTATTTATTTAAGTTTTTCATGTATTACTTTGTATTCTGTATTTCTGTGTATACCTTTTGATAAATTTTAAAATTGTTGTAAATTATTTTTGTAAATTATAAATTCATACCTATCGTTATAAACTCATAGATATAAACATTTTGTATTATATTATATATATATAAAAAAAAATGTAATTTGGAATTAAATTTCCGTTAATAAAGATTATTATTATTATTATTTATTTTGATCACGTTATTTCGTTTCATAAAATGTACCTATATAATTATTAATTTCTCCTCAAGTTAATAAATGATTGAAACAAAATAAGTGTACTTTAATTCAATTTAATTACCTTTCTTTTTACATGGAGTTCGAAGACGTGTTTTTGTTGTGATAATATTACAATATAGATTAGGCAGCCCATCTGTTTACAAAAGTTTTTTAATCCGTACAAATTACTGTTTGTCATGTTTTATAATGTATGGTATAGTGAATACAATTTTAGAAAAACGTTACTTTACACTAGAAAAAAGAAAGTTTTTTTGAATAAAATCAAGTCAAATATGAAATAATTAATTTAATGAAAGCTATCAGTCATTTTTAAGACGTGTAACATGTTGGGTGGATGCTTATAAGGTTACCACCACCCAGAACCGTCACCAATTGTAAAATGAGTAGATTTTACGGAATTGCTAATACAGTTATGAATGTCTTATAGATTTGATGAATGTGTTCGGCTATAGCCACCAAAAAAGACTCAATACAAAATAGTTTACTCTATTCAACCACAGGTAGATGTTGTCGTTTACCGTGTTAATGATAAAATATAATAAAAAGTGTATGTCATTGTCTAGATAATAATCTTACCTTTAAATTTCATAAGAGCTCAATTCGCTCTAATTTTAAATTTACGGAGATAAATGTGTTCTGCTGAGCATACAATTTGCTATGTTACGCGCTTGTAAGACGGAGAGAACAATTGTCACTGTAACGTAACCTTAATGGTAAGTTTATGAATATAATCTTTACTATGCATTATTGATTATTTGTTATAACAATATAATTAATAATTTCAATAATTATTATGCTGCAATTGTAATTATAATATGTGTATGAGTATACACATGTGTAATAAGTAATAATACAATATCACAATGCAATTAAGGTAATATAATGTGTAAAAACTAACATTGCTACATAATTGACTACATTATTAGTTTGTTTAGTTAAGTTGAACCACAATTTGTATTAGACACATATAAATATAATTTCATGTACTAATTTTCTTAAATATTTTGATGACATTTTTGAAAAGATCACTCCGAATCAAAACGTGCATAGAAGCACCACTAGTTATGTTAACACATAGACCAAAAGAGTAATAATGTTAACAGGAAAAAACATTGCTTTATGGTTTTTCACCATCATAGTACTTATTCAATATGTCATCTACCAAATTTTTATTTTTAAATTAAAAATATCAAATGGACATTATTATTTAGAAAGACTTAAAATCTTTTTTCCTGTATTTTAAGCAATGACAAATAATACGATATATTGTTGAATAAAATAAATTAGTGGACTATTTTATACATTTACTTAATAATATTATATGTATCACAACAATTATTGTTAAGTAAAATAGAGCATACGCGTACATAAGGGTTAGAACTGATAATTGTACATAGAATATACAATAAAAAATACTAGATAGTATATTGAAGGGGTACTCCCTAGAACATATTCAAATATTTTAGCATTAAGTTAACTTAGTTAATTATTTTAATAAATAAATTAGGGGATACATTTTTAATTGCATCCAAGAAAAATTTCAAAATGCTTGTGATGACACTTTATAAATAAAAAAATTCAAATATATGTTTATATGCGTCGTAATAGATTAGAAACAAAAGAACAAAAAAGGCGGTAGCGTGGGGGGAGTTAAATAAGTATTATAGAAAAACTATAAGATGTTAATTAGTTCAAAATGGTTTTAGTAATTAGTTTAAAATGGTATCAAGGATATAAGAGAAAATCGTAGGCAGTATTGAAAATAACAAGTGTTTTTGAGATTATAAAGATTAAGATGAATATACCAATATAAGTTCATACCTGGTGTTTACATTAATGCAATATAGTAAGATTTTTAGTATAGAAATGAATTAATTTAACTTATACGTAATAAAAGAGTTATATTTTAATGTATGGAGGTGTGTCGAAATCATTTTATGTGGACGTAGGACATTGTGCTTTGTCTTCATAGGATACAGCCTCCAGGCCTTATCATACTGCTTCAAAACATTGTGTTGCCGTAGAACAACTGTCGATCCGAGAATGAGTCCATCCGAATAATCCAAGTGATTTGAAGAGTGTCCGTAGAATATCCGCAGAGTATATGGAGAGAGACGTGTGCATGCCCAGAGCCGCAAACGAGTATTTTTAGAGCCCAGACGAGTATTCCGAGACCCGCTAACATGTGATCCGAGAGAGCTTGCTTGGTTACGTTAGGTTATATAAAGCGTATTGAAGTTTGTTATCCCCACTTTGTTGCGCAATATCTGAATTGTTTTGTATGTTCTTCCATGTAATGTTGGTATGTGTTTGTAATTGGACGATTATTGTATTATATTGTTTTGGATGATCGAGATGCCATTTTTATCAGGTCAGATGAATTGTGGTGTACAAATTAATTTTTGTGTCATCATGTTTTCATCTTCTAATTTTATGAGAATATTAATTACTTTATAAAAATAATTTAATTGCATTATATGTGCTACACCCAAGTATACTCATATTCATGGAAATTCATTTTACAGTTTTATTATAAACATAACTTATATTATTTATATATTACAATATGTTTATATGTATTATGTTTAACTAATTTATAAGAATTATATTACATACCCACCTACCCATTTCAATATGGGTATATTTATGTAAGGCCGTTAAATATAGGTTTTGGCAACCCTGGTTCCAAGAATGTTATCATAAACTTGACAACAACGTTATACCTTATTTCAATTAAGTTCTTGGCAACTGAAATAGAATCTTTGTTTCCTGTAATTGTTATATTTTGATCTCCATTTTCACAATTTTCATGAGTTCCTTTATCTGTAGCTACTTGCACCAAAGCACCGCTTTTTTGTCTAAATAAAATACATGCACATAATATATTTACTATTTATTATTAAAAAAAAAAAAAAATAAATCAATTAATTTCAAATGTTACCATTAATATGATCAATGCATGTGATCTAAACTCTAGATCAAGAGTATCTATTCATTAAAACTATTATTTATTCTAGTTGTTAGTATAGAGATTTATTTTTAAGTTGATTGTCATTTTACATTAAGAAAAATTATAGTTTGATTTTTTAATTTTAAGCTTTAATGAATACTGAGTAAGAATTTGAAAAGAGAATTAACAAAACAAATAATTTCATAATAGAATTATTAACTTATGAAAGTTAAACTGTTCAAAATTATAATCACAGAAAAAGTGTATTATAAAAAGACTGATTAAAGTTATATTTTATATATACAAACAAGATATACAATACAAAACTAATCAGTTTAAGAAAAAAAAATGTATCCAAAACATCTTTAAAAAGTAAACCTACCAGTGCGTAATACATTTTTTTTTTTTTACAATGATTAGGATTCTATGTTTTGAATAACTTACTGTATTTCTGCGATTTTACTTCCTCCTCTGCCAACGACACATCCAATTAAATCATCAGGTATAGTCATAGATATTGTCTCAGTGTTTGAATTAGAATTTTGATTTTTATGTTCTTCACCATCATTTTGGTTTTCAAGATTACCTGTTCTCAATTGACTTCCAGCAAATGCAGCTAAGGTTAAACATATAATTTTATTTAATTAAAAAACTCATACAAAAAGTAAACTGGTTAATTGCATCAAATATATAGGGTTGTCATAGATATTGTCGTCGTAAAGTTTTTTAGGTTCTGAGCGGAGCGATGAACGTATTGATTTTACAATGTTGTTTTTTTTTATTTTATTTTTTTTTTTTGTCTGTCATCACTATTTAGGGCAGTAAAACTGATTCAAATTTCTTCAACAGTATCTTGTTTGATGGGAAAGAGAGATAGTTGGTGCATTCGGGAGGTCAAATTTAAAATTCTCAATAGTTTTCAAAAGCGCCGGGAAAAACAACATAAAAATTAAAAGGAAAACGGGAATTGTCCACAAATTGCTTGAAATACTAATAATTATAAAACCAAACTTTGACACTACTGTTCAAATTTTAAAAACATATTAATACATACCATCTGGATTGATATCTCCAGTTGATGCAGTTCCTAACTCAAGAGCTGCAAGACTGGGCAAAGGATTAGTGTGTTGTCTTCCAAGCTAAAATAATGTTAAATAGGTACAAAATGAACATTATTAATAAATCTTAAACAGTAATAAGAAACTTACATCATTACCAACTGCACTACTAGCAAATCCTGAAGTATTACTACAAACTTCATAAGGGATTGTTGTACCACGTGGTGGATACTGAAAATGCATAAATTATATTAGATATTTAATATTACCTTAGGACTTAGAATATACAATAATTTCAGTAATAAAGTATACTGAAAATCGAGTGAATTAGTGCAAAAAAAAAAAAAACAACGTGAATACCAATATTATAATCCCTACTAGTGTAGATTGTAAGGAACACTTTGTAAAAATTAAATCTTATATTATGGCGATTGCAAAATAAAAATATAAATGGAGTGTTTCATACAGACATTTTTCTGCTGAATTTAAATATTTTTCAGAATCAAAACCAGACAACGTTAATTAAGTTTAATTTTTTCAAAACAATAAGTAAGTTATCGTAAAATTTGTACAGTGAAATTTATAATGTTATCAAGTTATTGACATGTGCATGTGAGTAAAAGATTAGTACCCCTATTGAATTTCACCCACACTAATAATCATTTACAAATAACCCACAGATCCTGTGAGGCTAAGGAGAGATTAGAAATATCCTAAATGATGTCCCTTAAATAATAGCTACAGTGAGGCACCGTAAGAAGTTTTTCGAGTGTTTGTGACTAATTAATTTCCAGAATACAAATGTCTTCATACTTTTATTATTAATATTTTTTAAAACATAAATATGGCTAACTGTCTAAACACCAACAGAACTTAATTTAATTATCCCAAATTATTAATGTATTATTATAGTTAAATTTCTTTGAGCCTCGGACAGTTTTCTTACTCGTTTACCTAATAGAAGTAACACTCATCCAAAAATCAAAACCACTTCAATCATTGTCTAATAAATTTAAATACCTTAACATTATTAACATTTATGGATCATTTAATCTCGCGTTTCCACCAGAATACCATACTTCAACTATATAATTTACTCAACGGATTAAATAAATATTCTATTTTTCCTTACACATAATAGTATATTGCACACTTGATAAACACATTGAGATATTGTTCCTGTAGTACCAGTGATTGAAACTAGACGTTCAGTTGAATTGGGTAACATGTCTGATGCTACTTGTATGGCAGCTCCACTTGATTCTCTAATTTCTTTTATTTTCCATCCACCTTTACCAATTATGAAACCACATTGAGATGCTGGTACAATTAGTTTAAAAGTCAAAGGTGCTTTTGGGCCATTCCAGTCGCCATTCTGTCTCTCAAAAAACTAAAAAAAAGTTAAAAATGTAATTTTTAAATTTAAATTTTTATAGAGGTTCTTACTTCTTCGACTTTTAGTCCAATAAGTTCAGTAGCTTTACAAATTGCATTTGTAGTTCCAGTAATGGTCACAATAAGTTCTGGAGTTGAACCATCAGAGATTAAAACTCTCGCACCAGACTAAAAAAAATATTAAATTATTTCAAAATATAAATAGGTTGAACAATTGTTTAACTATTTACCTGGTCTCTTATATTTTTTACAGTTTCACCTCCTTTACCAATCACATTTCCTACTTCCTAAAGTCAAAAAAAGAAAATATGTATTTAATCATAAAAATCAATATACTACGTGCATACTGTATATAATATAAAACAAAGTGCACACATTTAGTTTACAATTTGCAAGCTACATTTTGAAAAGACACTACATTAATCATATAATTATTGCTCCCTTATAAATATAATAATTGTTTTTTTTCAATGTTTTAGGCAAGTACATTTATTAAAAAAAAATCTAAAAAAATCTATAAATATATTATAAGTTAATCAATGTTTAATGTTTATGTTTAACATACTGGTAATAACATATTAAAAGAAAAAATTAAAAATTAATAAAAAGCTTGAATTATAAATGATAATCATTTATTAATGCAAGATTGTTCTTAAGATCACACTATAAAATAGACATGCACGAGTAGTCTCTACACATATAATATTTAGGTTCTGAAAGTTTTGTACAATGGGTTAGGTAGCTTTATTAAGCACATTAATAATTTACCAATATAATATTATCAAACCTATGACAATAACAATAGGATGTGCTCTCTCGGTGGTCATATCCAATATCATACTTTTGTAATATACTGGTAGCCTGAGTGACTACTTGTATATAAACGTTGCAGGTAGCAAGACCGTGATGATGATAGGATGTATGTTTAAATAAACATAGGCAATTATAATATAATGTGGTTTTATTTGTAATGTTCTTGAATGAATTGTTTAAAGTCCAAAATGACAATAATATTACACAGAGTATTGTGAACGTGCTTTCAGTACAGCTGAGTGGACACGTCTGAATACAGGCCGTTTCGGGGTCCCTCTTATAGTCCGGTTCCCGCTCCCCTTGTCTAGTGATACTGTATCTCGGTTCTCATGGATGTGGCCTATGTAGCCATCGACCTAGCCCACGCACTTGCGAAATTCACAATCTATTCTGAGTATTACCATAGTATACTGATCTACGAATTTCCAATTTCATTATAATTAATCATTCTACTCATTTATATTGAGTACCTGTCATATATAGTGCTATTGCGAAATATTACATCTGCCTAGTCTATAAGATTCTAGAATCGTATCACACTGAGCCAATAATGATTAATCGTAAATTTGTTTATCCTTTCGTTTTGGTCACTATACCTCCCATGGGCTGTTTGATTATTTTGTATTAGAACACAATCGAACGTTAACTAGCTAATTTCTATTTCCATTTGACGTATCTGATTATTACCTATCTACAGTATACTATACTTAATATGGTACCAGTCGGGATGACTTTAACTGTTACGTAGTAACTAGGGTTACTACACTTTTATGGTATTATAAGATATTCCGTCATCTTCTGAATATTGAGAGAATGAGACGAGAGTATAGTTAATGTTATTGTCTTTAAGTTTAATAATGGATTGATTCTTACTTAATATTAAAAACATAACTATGGAAAACAGTCGTGCAGACAACAAATGCACTTGTGAGCGTGCTCTTAAAAATAACACAATATACAAATAAAAAAAAATATTAAACAACATACTCTGCCGTGAAATAGAATCCGTATGGTCAAATTGATATCGTTGTAATCGTTGAAACTAGATCCGTTGGAACTTTGCTGGACGTTTTCCATTTTCACCTGAACAGAAATCGTCGAGAATTCACTGTGCAATATTTACCTGATCAATAACGGAAAGAATTATAACATTTAACCGACAGGTCTACAGACACCAACTAATCGTATGGCGTACTTACTACCTGTCAGCAAAGCACTGTGCACGACGTACCTAAGGGTTACGATCGCTGCAAAAGTGCAAATCCAAGTTCGGTATCTTTAATTACTCGGGTATAATATTTCCCGAGTAAAATAATTTGTCGTTTATTATTAATAATTAGGTATGATATAATATGTAATATTATAATTAATATTATTAAATTATTAATGTTATGTGATACAAGAATATTTTGATTTTCGATATTCGCGTGATAGACGCAAGGAACAACGCAGTGTTACCGTTTGTAAAAAAAAAATATAACACTCTCCTCAGCCCCTCCCACAAACAACAGTATAAAAAAGGTAAAAACACTAAAAACTACTCATATGGCCATATAGTACAATGGTAAATAGTGATGGACGACGGTATTCGTGCTGAATTTTTCTATCCAAAAATCTTTGTAATCGCACTATTATTTCAGGAGTTATCACATTGTTAGTTATCACAATTCACAATTACACGGTGTTGGGTCTGAAATAATTAACTAAATGAATTATCCTGCAAAATAATGGAAAACAGTGTTACTGACGTATTACTGTGTTTTGAAATTGTACAGCCGAGTTGTTGTATAGTACGGAGTCATTATAAATAATACAAATAAAAATATATAATATTAATATATTTAATGGTAAAAAAAAAAAAAAAAAATAGGTAGCAAATGTATAATTGATGTACCAACACAGAACACTAGACACTAGTCCATCGACTAATCAACAATATAATGGTTCTCATCAAGAAACCGAATAAACCATTATGATCACCTCATCACCATAAAAATTAAAATAGAAATCGTTTATTTATATGATTGCACTTCAGCGTAGGTTTGAAACTTTGAGCTCGTCGCGGTCACTGCAGGATTAATTATACCACAGAACAATACATAATACATAAGTATATTATAGAATATATATTTAGAAGAGTATAATATAAATCAATTAAGTTATCTATTTCCGGGAGGGGTTTTTGAAAATCACAACAGCAAAGTTAGAAAGTTGATGCGAATACGAATTTTGTTCATGGACCATGGTTGATAGTTTGATACATCATACAGGATGCCTTTAAAACCATCGAAATGTCGAATAGTAACATGCTACATAGCTATAATAACTATACGGCTATAGTCTATACCTACATATTATTTCCACTTACGACTGGATAGTAAATTAATCCGAGGTAATTGGGCAATGGACACAATATCATAATATGTAGAACGAAACGATTTGTTATCAATTATTATTGTAAGTAAAATCATTGACCTAAAATATAACTTACCCCGTACTCGTGAAGTCGATGGAGGTGGTTTCTTACTAGGTTTGTAGCTACGTTTTGCAGATTTTGGTAGGTTTCTGTCAAATAGACGAGGCGCAGATGTGATGGAATATGGTCTATACACACAACTTTAAGAATATTCTATTAAACTATCGTACATCGATGGTCGGAGACGATGATGGCGGCCATACAATAGGTAGTGTGTATATTAAACTGGTATAATATAATTAATGATTTGTAATTATTATTTATTATTACGAAGCTGTCTGAACTCCGAATTAGACGCATAGAAAAACGATTACAGTGGATATTGTGATTACTGATTAATGATAAGTGATAACGTTGGGTTTAGAACCAGAGGCGGATCTAAGAATTTTTACGACCGGGGAAAATATTAAAATTAAGCCCAATCATAGACCAAGATTGAAAATACAATATCATTCCCTACAAATTGTTTTATCATAACTGTAACTAAAATTACAAACATACTTATTAACTTTTAAACACATAATAATATATAGTAATTAATATATTCTGTGGACTGTGGTGTAACCAAGTTTATACTAATAAACTATCACACCAAAAACACTTTAAATTTAAAAACTTAGTTAACATATTGTTGATACATTTTTAATTACTGGAAATACTGTAGTGGTTACTTAATTGTATTTATTATTAGAAATAATAATAATATTAGTTATATATAAATGTTGTAAAATAATCAAAACTTTAATTACCTACCTATCCTGTATAAAAACCCTTTTGCTGTTTTGGTTTTATGCGCCTCAGCCTTCAATTATAATAGATTTTTATGGTAAAATATAAATTCTTTTATTCTGATTAGGGTACACAATTTAGGCCAGTAAAAAATTGTATTTAATTAAACAATTTATAATAGAAAAAATGAAAAAGTAAATGTTTAAAATCAAATCTTTTTTTTAAACATAAACAAATGTATAACTATCTTGGTAAATATTATAATATATAATATTATAAACTATATATTAACATCATTTTTAATATACAGATATAATATGCGTATCGTACGTTGATTGATAATCTTATAACAGTTATTTTACTCAGCCTAGGTATAGTTAATAGTTACATTTTCACTCTTAAATAATCGAATCTTAATAATAAATTATAGTTTATTAGTTGTATATGCTTGCAGTAGGTATGCTAATGCCAGTATACCAGTATATACTTAGTATACTAATACGAATCTATTCATAATCTTACTATTAACTTTATTTTTTTTTTCATTAATTCCAACGTCATCACTACAACATGATAAACAAATAATGTGAAATAAAAATGTTTTCTTAACTTCTATCACCAAGCATTAAATAAAGAACTAAACTAAAATTTTACTCCCGGGGATCAATCCCCGGCTTCACCCCCCTAGTTCCGCCACTGTTTAGAACATGATAACATTGATAACATGATACTCATAAGCAAGTATTCGATTGTTGACATAAATATGTGCAACGAAAAAGTGCAATATTTTGTGGTGCTCTTTTCGTAGTGCACTAGTGCCGTAGTGGTATAGGTAAACTTGAAATTTTAACCATAGATTCCCTATAACGATATCGCATGCAAAGTATGACTGTATGAGCTTAGGGGTTGGAATTCATCCCTTTCCATCATTTTTAGTTTTGAGTATTTACAAACAACATTTTATTTCGTACTTTTAATAGTTAATTTAGAATATCATACAATCATAAAATAAGTAGTAGGTACTATTGTTGTAATAATAATTATTATAATCATAATTAATTGATTACAGTTACTTTGCTTACTAAATTTGAATACTTAATTAGGTGGCTAAGGTAAAAATGGTATTTGATTATTATACAAATCTGTAATTAACTTATTAACTCATAATTTAAGAGTCGATAATTTGTATCGGTATCGTTCGGTCTTGATAAAGACGATACGCGGGCCGATCCCGATAACACATTATTATAGACTTATATTATACTGTATGACTATTGAGTCAGTCGCGTACGATCGATGTAATCGGCACCGTCTCGCTTCGTCGTAATAAATAACCATAAATAAAGATGTATATATTTTTGCGATCGAAATAAGGTGCGTTACAATATATTGATTAAACTAATTATTCCTATCCGAGAACCAAAAACAAAGAAAAAGCGTTACAGTCCACAACAACAATATTAAAAATATTTGGGCTTGTGTCGAGTTATTTTTCGGCCATTTTAAATTTTCCATTTTAAGCGGAGCTATATTGATTTTACAATGATTGGTGATTTTTTTTTTGTGTTTACCATCGTTTGGGGCAGTAAAACTGCTTCGATTTTCTTCAACAGTATCTTGTTTGATGGGAAAGTTGATCTAGTTTGTGCATTCGGGAGGTCAAAAAATTTCCAATAGTTTTCATATTCGCAGGGAAAAACTACATAAAAATTAAGGAAAACTGGAAATTTATGAGATATTATGCCATCTCTAATGATATTTTAAGTAACATTTCGGTGGTGGGTATACTTATCGACGATTATAATGTAAGTATAATATGCAACATCAATAACATATAGTTTTTTTTTAATAAAACGTAAAACCGAAACATAGATCTAAGTAAAATACAATTATATTTACAGTTTTGAATAGGTACTTAAATCTAAATATGAATGAATTATAGTAGTAATAATAAAATGTTTAAAGATACATTTTCTAGAATCCTAAAATTCTAAGACCTTGATTTCTTTCGATCGCCTTAAATTTTATTGAAGATTAAAATAAAAGGAAAACCTTACTGCAGGTTGTTAGTCACCTTAAATATAAAAAAAATCGATTCTTTATAAAGAGGATTTTAACTGATAAGGTATTATTTAAGTGACATATACCTATTTACTGACTTTTATAATAAAAGTACACATCAATAAGGCATTTTTTTTTTTTTTAATTGTTTTAAATGTAACGTATGCGGAGACTCAAATTTAAGTAAAATCATAGCCAAAAATCAATAAATAATAAGAATAAGAATAAAACGTCAAAAGTCACATTTTTATCGTATATAGGAAATAAAAATATTTGTAATGGCAAAAAAGTCCTTTTGTCCCTAAACAGTTCAAAATAAATCAAAATATTTTGAAAATGTTATCGTGTACAGAAAATGCAAATATAAACAACCATTGAAAATTTCATGTATCTACGGTAATTTGTTTAAAGTTACACCAAAGACCAAATTCAATTTTCTGAAAAATCGATTTTGCGTACAAATCTCCGTTTTTCCTTAATTTTTCTTTTGTTTTTCTTGGCGCTTTTGAAAAGTACTGGGAATTTTAAAATTTGACCTCCCCAATGCACCAACGATATTCACTTTCCAATCGAACAAGATACTGAAGTCGAAAATCGAAGCATTATTTCGACTACTTATCGTGTACACAGACACAAAAAATAAAAAATAAAAAATAAAAAAATAAAAAAAAAACACACACCATTGTAAAATCAATACATTCATCGTTCCACTCAGAATCTAAAATAGTAGAACATTTAAAATATCCATAAATATTAATAGAGTCAAAATATTTTTAAAACAATAATAATATTATATTTAGAAATGTTAATA